CTTTGACAGGGCTCAGCTGGGGCTTGACTCAGGGCCCTAACCTGCTTGTTCTGCCCCCCCACACACACACACACACTGCGCAGCCTGCACTCCAGGAAAGCAGGTCCTGGGCCCCACCATGCCAGCATGGACGTTCCAGATGCACCTGTGTCCTTCAGTGGCTCAATAAACACTAATGCTTCCAGCAGCTGCTGTTGGGTCACTTGTAATGTGCAGGCCAGCTCAGGGCTGGGTTAGCAGGGGGCTGCAGGCTGGCTGTAAGGGGCATCCACAGGGCTGCCCTGCCCTGCCCTGCCCAATCAGTTGGCTCCATCTCCCTGGCTGCATTGTACTGCTTGGTCCACGCCTCCACCAGCATGGATCAGCTCATGGCTCCAGCACCCTCCGGCAAGGCACTTGGTTTCCAAGCAACTGATCCCATCTGCTCCTGCTAGAGTGGCTCCTGCTACCCCCAGGCCTGGGAGATGCCACCAGCTTTAAGACCCCGGATGGGCCTACCCCAGGTGGGTCAGCAATAGTCTCTGAAGCTCCTGCACAGAGCTGAGGACCAGCTGCTGCTGGGTGGGGCCTGGGAAGAGTTGATGCAGGACGCCCTCACCCGGTGCTGAGATGCAGTAGGGAGCTACCCAGGTGCACACATAGATCAGCAGAGCTGCACACCCTCCACCCCCGTCTGGGTTTATCTCCTCCAGCAGGGCCTGCACCCTCCTCACAGCTAGCCTCAACCTCTCCACCAGGGGGCAGCAGATGCCAATGCCCAGCAGGGCTCATCCCCCCTCCTCAGCAAGAGGTCATAGACAAACACAGCAGAGCTGTGCCCTCCAGCAGCGGGGACACAGAGCCCAGCTCATCCCCTCTGGACGCAGGCAGCACAGCCACACACACAGATTCTGCTGTGGGTTTGTGTCACTTTATTTTCTCTCACGCCAGCCAGGCCTGCCCGGGCATGCACAATTTAACCACCAGCCCCTTGGCACAGCCTCAGGCCCCAAGTCGTGGGGGAGGAGGGTGTTTCCAGGGCAAAATAGATATTTGAGGGGGAAGTTTGAGAGGAAATTAAACCATCTCACAACCGCACTCTTCCCTGGGGGGGGGTCCCAGCGCATCAGGGACTTAGGAAAGTCCCAGTCACATCCAAGGGAAGCCCCACACCCTCCTGCACATCTGGCACACCTGGGGATGACTGCCCCCTGCCCTCAGCCCCTGTACCACCTGTGCACAGGTCTGGCAACGCCCCCACCCCAGCTCTGGGCTCAGTCTAACCTCACCAAGCTTCATTCCACCCACAGCAGCTGAGATCAGAATCCAGTCCTGACCCCATAGCCCTCAGTGGGTGACCGGATCGACCGCTCCGCAGCTGAGATCACATGCTGATTTTGCTTGTTCTGACTCAACCAGAGCCTGCGTGCCATGAGCACTGGGGTTCCCCGGGAAGGGGGCACCTTTGCTCCCTGGGGGCAGCTTAGTTGCTTTTCTCCTCTCTCCGGGCACCCATGGTTCATTCAGGCTCCTGGATGTGCAATGAGTTCATAGAGGCGTCCCACCCGCTATGCCCGGGGTGCTCTGTGACGAGCACCCCTCCCCCCGGTGCATGATGAACACCGGAAAGTAGAGGGCATCATGGTAGCACGGTGGGCTCCCCAGGGGCCTTCTCTCTGCCCCTCCCCCACTCAGGCTGCGGAAGATGCTTCGGCCCAGTGAGAAGCGGCTGCGGCTGAAGGGCAGGCGGGCATAGAGGGCCCGGGTGCTGCAAGAGGGGAGGGAGTTGCTGCTCAGCGTGCGACGGCAGCGCTGCCAGCCCCGCAGGTAGGCACCGCCTGCCACGACAGGGTCCATCAGCATGGCCTCCGAGTAGCTGGGCACCAGCTGGCGGTTGGAGCAGATGTGCCACTCCAGCTCCGTCATGTCCACCGTGGCCACACGTGGGATAGGGCGCCCATAGCCAGGGGGCTCCAGGGGGCCGGGCCCATCCTCAGTACCGAAGAGCTTCTCCACGTGGTAGTGCACGTTGGCTGTGCGGTACCCCACCAGCACCCGCAGCGGCCAGGACAGAAGCGCCAGCGAGGCTGCCCAGAAGGACCAGTGCCGGGTGAACCAGGGAGGACGCCCTGGCTCAGGGAAGACCATCAGCTGCTCCTGGAAGTTGACATCCTCCAGCCGCATGCCCTCACGTGCCTCCAAGTAGTCGTCCAGCCCCTCATTCTGGCTGAAGAAACGTGCCCGCTGTGCCAGGTAGGCAGCCTCGGCCCGAGCACTGGCAAAGCTGAAGCACTTGGTGAAGCGCAAGCGGGTGGCCGGATGCTCCGCCAGGCCCAGCAGCTCCTTGGAGACGTCGCGCACGCCGTGGGCCGTGTAGTCAAAGTGGCTCTCGGCCACATGGGTGTTGACACGCTCATGGTACACCTGCGTGGTGGTGTAGGCGTCGCCATTGCGATAGCGGGTCACCTGGCGCGTCCGGCGGATGTAGTGGTAACTCACCGCCTTCCACCAGACGCAAGGTGCTGCCTGCTGCATGTGCTGCACCAGTTGGTGCACGCTGGCAGTGCTGGCCCGGGGCTGGCGCTGGGCCTGGGCGAAGCGGTGCCAGCACTCTACCAGGTAGAGCAAGTAGAGCATGGCCAGGAAGGCCAGTGGGATGTACAGATAGCCATCTGAGCAGGGGCTGGCGTGGTAGACAGTGGAGGTTCCATGGGAGGCCCCGTCAAAGGCCAAGCGGGTGACAGTGGAGAGGTGGCACCAGGCCACGGCACCAAAGCAACCATACATCAACAAGGTGAGCAATAGGCACCGCCAGTGTGACTCACGCCACAGGGAACTGCTCAGGGACTGCTTGAGGGGGCGCTGCTGCTCCGGAGAGAGAGAAACACAGTTAGTGGGGAAAGGTCCAGGGTCCCATTCCCTGCCCCATGCCAGCCAGCCTGTCCCCTACCCCTGTGGCTGGATCAGAGCTGATGCTCCACAAAGGGGAAAGGCCCCATGTCCCATTTTCCATCCTCCCAAGCCAGCCAGTCTCCCAGAGGCCAGGTCAGAGCTGCTGCCCCATCCAAGGGAAAGGTCCCGACCGTCCAAACGCCAAACATCCAACCGGCTGCCCCAGCCAGACAGCAGTAAGTCTGTGAGTAGTCAATTGGCTGCACTGCTGCTGGATGAAGTCACAGAACAACCCCGCTGTGGCTCAGCACCAAGATCCCAGCCTGGAATCCCACCTGTGCCAGGCCTGGGCCACATGGACAACCTTGGCTGCAGCAAGCCAGGCTGGCTAAGGGCAACAACAGCCTCAGTGTGACACAGAATCCAGCATCCCCCAGGAAGGGGATTCCCAGCCAGCTCCAGAGCGGATCCACCAGGCACGGGGCTGCATGGACAGCAAGACCCCTCTCCAGCACAGTTCCCAGCTCTGCTGCAGGGAGTATCTAACCTCCCCCCCCACACACACACAAACACCTCACCAGCTTCTCCTGGGCACCCGGCAAAGCGCCAAAACCAAATGGACTCCCGGGCGCTGGGCAGGGCTAAGGATGCAGATGCATCAACACCAATGAGCTCACTGGGGGATGAGAAGGCTCAGGAACAAAGTACCCAGCAAACCCTGCCCCCCTTCACAGAGCTGGATAGACAACCCAGGAGTCCTGGCCCCACCACTTTGACCCATTAGATCCCACCTTGAAAGGGAAATAGAGCCCAGTGGTGCTGGACCCCAGCTAACCTCCATCTCCCTAGAGCCCACTTGCCCAGACCCACAGCAGAACCCAAGAGTCCTGGCTCCTACCTCCTCCTGCTGCTCAAGCCTCCAGGCCTCCCCAGGAGTGGAGAACAGGGCCCAGGAATCTGGGCTGCCAGCCCCCCTCCCCTCTCGCCCCATTCTCTAACCACTGGACCCCCCCCACCTCCAGCCCCGGACTGGAGAGAGGGGCCCACGGATCCTGTGGGGGATGGTAACCACC